GTTACAGCTCTGTGCACCCCAGCCACCATAACGGGGTCTGACCCCAGGATCGCCCTGAGAATGACAAGTCCGAGTGAAGGCTTCCAATTAGTCTTTTATTAGTTCTCAGGTTACAGCTCGAGCTTGGTGCCTCGAGGGGGAGGGACCCCGACCCCAATTCATGCCTCTCAATTATACACATACTACCCATCACCCAATCCCCAAATCCAGTCACTTCATTCTCATCGGTGGTCTCTTGATTTTTTTTTTTATGGTGCTTTTTGGGTTTTTTTTTAAATTGGTTTTCACTGGTGCTGGGCTGGCCGCCTTCTGAGGCTACTTCATTCTCTTGGAATTGTCTGCTTGGTCCTTACCTTCTTCATTCTGCTTGTATCTTCCCGATTCAGCTAGTTCTTTGTTAGCAGCATTAGTTTTATCAAAAAGTTCTCAAAAGTTTATCAAAAAGACTCTCCTCAGTTCTTGTGCCCTAAGGCTTCAACTACTTCAGCTGCTAATGCTAAGCCATTAATGCTAAACGAGACTATTCAGAGAGAGAAGAATACAGTTAATCAAATGTCTTCTATAATGGGTATTATTTGTTTTTATTTAATCTTATCTTTTCTCTTTATAGGCTGTAAATGATTCCTGCTACCAAAACGATGATTCTGTCCTGAAATCCCTAGTAGAAATTGCAGATTCTGTTCCCAAGTATTTACGACCACATTTAGAACCTACTTTGCAACTAAGTCTGAAGGTAAAGCTAGGAATTCTTTTTAAAAAAATTTTACTCTTTCCGCCTCAAAACTTTTGTTCTAACCATTTGCTCTAATCTTCTGGATTGTAGTTGTGTGCAGATGCCAGTCTCAGTAACATGCAGCGTCAGTTGGCTCTTGAAGTAATTGTCACCTTGTCAGAAACTGCTGCTGCTATGCTGAGGAGGCACACAAACATTGTTGCGCAAGCCAGTAAGTATTTTATTTGTTTTCTTTGTTTTGAAACAATTTGTCTTCCTTTACAGCGTTAAACTGACTTTGCAAGGTGGTCAGTAGCAAAACCATGTCTAACTCAGAGTTTGCTGGTGCTGGTAACTTCAGGTGACACTGAATTGAGTTTTCTTCTGGCAAAAAGGCCTTCTTACTATGACTCTTCATAAATTAATCTGTGCTTATGCAGCCAACAACAATTTGAATAAAAATACAGTAGATTATTCATTAGGTGTTTCCAAGGAAAATACTACTTTCATGATTTTCTGCTGGCTTTGGAAATTTGTACTGTAAAAGAAAAAAAAAAGTTGATGCATTTAGTTCTGAAGTTCTACGTTTGAAGTTTGGTATGTAGGCCAGATACTCTGTGGTGCTGGCAACTGAAGACTGAAGGAATTCAGCATGCACGTTGAGCTTCAATGTTGAGTTAAAGCTGTGAATTAAAAATCAGATGCTTATGTAAGTGCTTAGAGATAGTCTAATTAGACTATTTAACATGTGGATTGTAAATTCTTTGGAGAGGCACTTTTTTAATCATGCATTATTATTTGAGATACTAAAAATAACTGTCTTCTGGACAGCCCCAGCAGCAGTGCACTGGTGTTTCTCTGCCTTTTAAACCTTCTTTGTGAGTAGATCACAACACTGACACTGCAGTGTAGCCTGCTTTTTGGAAGGATTCTTTTCTCTCCCTGTCACACTTGTATCTGTTTAGATTCTTGCTTGTTTTCTGGAACTTGCATAAAGACAATCTGTTAAAAGGCAACTTTTTTTACTTGTGTGCACAGGCTGGAGAAAGTTGCGTATATATGTGTCATTAAAATAATCATAAAACTCCTGGAAAATGTTGTAAACTGGGTTAGCTTGGCTTAAGTGTTTAAACTCTTGACTAGAAGTTTTGTTTACTTGTAGAATTTTTTTTTTAAAGAACAGATTCTTTCAGAATATATTTTGAAATTTGAAAATGTTTAGAACACTGTGTAGCTTGTTGGGAATATGAACATTTGATGCTTGCTGACCCCCAAATCATTACAAGCTTTTTATCTGGTCATGCGGCATAGCGAAGTACCTCACATCTCTTTAGAATGTATTACTTTTATATTGGGTTGCTAGTTGCTGTTTAGGAATGAAATATTTGTATTAAGATACTGTATTAAGGTAAAGCACCATGTGGGAATGAAATGCCTTTGGTTTGCAACCCATTGTAAAATTGCTCTTAATGAATCACTAAGGTGAAAGACAGTTATTTTGCAGAGCTGGTAAAGCAGTTATGTTCAGAGAATGATAAAAGGGTAGCAAAAAAGGGTTGCTTTTGTCTTGGTTTTGTGCCTTAGCTTAAAAGGTTTTCTGTTTTCATTGAACTAAAAAGTTGCTAGATCACTTGATCCTCACAACTAGAAATGAGTCTTAGGCAAAACTGTCATCTTATGCTGGTTTTATTGAACATGATGTTCATTAGGAGTAAGTCTGCATCTTGCGTACCAGTTTTCTGCTCAGGAATTCCATTGGGGCTCAGACTTCCCTCCTTGAGCTCAGTGTTCAAGACAGCAAGAGTGTTATATTGCTCTTCCCCTAGAAATTAGAGCTGCAGCCTATCTTTGGCTGTAGTTTTGCTCAGTCTCCAGAAAACAGAGAGTCAGGGGCACGCTCTGACAAGAGGCAGCCTTAGTGGGGCTCATCCTTAACTTGTTTGTAAACAGTCTATATATTGGGAATGGCTGAATTTTGAGGGATTGTTGGGACAATGTTGAAACTTCAATGTGCAACTCTACATTAAAAAAAAAAATTCTTTGTGAAACTATACTTACTGGCAACTACATTCATATTAACATCAAGAAGAAACAACACAAGCTTTTGCAGGTTCTGGATATAATGATGGCCAGACAGCTTTGGATGACAGTTGGTTCTCAGCCTTGCTTATTAGTATCAGCTAACACTATGACATCAATTTTTGGAATCGTGTAGCATTTGTGGCAGATGATGGTTGACTTCCATATTTCAGAGGTGTGACAACACGTCACTTTCACGTGTGCTTTTGAGTGTCTGCATTTGAAAAGCTTCTGGGCTATGATTTTTTTTTTTTTTTTGAGGAAATTGTTTTCAGTAACTAGTTAAGTATATAGAATTCTGAAGTGTTGGCATCATGCTAGAGAGTTCATAGTGTCCATTAAGTTAGCTCTGAAAGTTTTTGCAGCCATGGTATAGTCTCTGGCTGAAGATACATAGCAACATCAAGCAAATCATTCCATAATTTGATCTTTTCTTGATACTTGCCCCTCAATGCTGTCAGTGATCAGTATTTGCTTCTGTCATCAGTTGACTGTTTCTCATCTGTGGAGATGCATGGTGAGGTGAGTTTGCTTAGGGTTGTGCCTCTGTCATAGATTACAATAGTGTAAGTGTATTATGAAATTCACCAGTTGCAGTATACCCAATCAGTTGCAGTAAATCTTGTCAGCAGCATGGACTACTGTTTTGCCTACTAGTTTTTGAGGTAGGTTGCTGTAAGGGACAGTTAGCTATGACACCTGTCTTCAAGATGTGTGGTAGACTGTCCGAAAAAGATTCTCAAAGCTCAAAGATTTGAGTATTTGACTGAAAACTTTTGTTTTGAGGGGAAAGTGAAGCTCTTTTGCATAAATGGTGTTGAGTTCAAACGACTGCTCTGAGCAGTTAGTGTGATATAGTAAATCTTGTCAGCAGCATGGACTACTGTTTTGCCTACTAGTTTTTGAGGTAGGTTGCTGTAAGGGACAGTTAGCTATGACACCTGTCTTCAAGATGTGTGGTAGACTGTCCGAAAAAGATTCTCGAAGCTCAAAGATTTGGGTATTTGACTGAAAACTTTTGTTTTGAGGGCAAAGTGAAGCTCTTTTGCATAAATGGTGTTGCGTTCAAACGACTGCTCTGAGCAGTTAGTGTTATACGAAGTAAAGAATACTTAAGAGCACCTTACTTTG